CGGTTTAACCCTGCCGCTGCCGCACCGCGGGAGTCGCGCTCAGCTGTGTCCCAGGTGTGAGGCTGGAGAGGGCGGCGGAGGCTGCGCGACTGTCTGATTCCCCGCGTTTTGATGGCGGCCTCCCCGCCCTTTCACCCAACACCGTGGAAACCCGTGGTCACCTTAGTGCATTTCTGCGATTCGGCATCTCCAACTGTTTCACCCCTGGGGGCCCGGGCAGCGGGGGCAGCGAAGACCTCGCGCCAGCCTTGGATTCTCCCAATGACTGGATCCCCGGTTCCACTCTGGCCCTGCTACAATGCATTGCCTCACAGCAACCCGATTACCTTTAAAATAAGGAGATCAAGTCGCATTACTCGGCTTATCTGGCAATCAGAATAGCCAAACTCCTTACTGCGGCTTACCAGACTGGATGACCTCGCCCCCAGCTCTCTGATGTCTTTCCCCAACACGTCTTTATGCCCCAGCGACACTGGACCTGATCTGTATTTCTAAAACTAGAGCTTAACTGACCAGGGGGTCTTTGCACTGACTGTTCCCTGTGTCTGGAACGTTCCCCCCTGGCTTTTAACAATGACTCACTCTTTTCATTAATATTTCACTTAGATCCAGTGTCACCTCTTCTGGGAGGCCTTTGCTAACCACTCTGTCCAAAGCAGTTTCCCTGCCCTAGCTGGTTTGGCTCAGTGGATAGAGCCTCGGACTGAAGGGTCCTAGGTTCGATTCTGGTCAGGGCGCATGCCTGGATTGCAGACTCAGCCCGCAGTGTGGGGCGTGTAGGAGGCAGCCTATCAGTGATTCTCTCTCATCATTGATGTTTCTATCTCTCTCTCCCTCTCTGAATCAATTTTATATATATACATATATATTAAAAGTAGCTTCCCCTGCCCCATCCCAGCTCATGCATTCATTTCTATCAAAATCAGGTTTTTGTTTTAATTTATTTTAGGGAAGGAGGGAGAGAGAGAGAGAGAGAGATCATTGCCTCAAATCAAACCCAAAACCTAGGTATGTGCCCTCATCAGGAATCGAACCCACAACCTTCTGGTGCACCGGGAGGATGCTCCAACCAACTGAGCCACACCAGCCAGGGCCACAACCAGGTCTTATTCAGATTGCACTTCTAGGACAGCACACTCTTGTCTCCCTCCAACCTTGCTGGCTTTTCTTTCTCAGTCTTTTTCTGCTCGACCTCTAAACATTAGAGCTTCTGAGGGCTTAGTCCTTGGTCCTCTTGTCTTTCCACATCCTCTGTCCAATGATGTCATCCAGTCCCAGGGCTTAAACACTATGTAAATGTCAGCGAGCCCTAAATTTATATCCAGAGCTCTAGACTCATTTATCCAACAGCTTACTTGACATCTCCACTTGGGTGTCTAATAGCCATGTAAAGCTAATGCAGCTAAAATGCATCTTGAATGATCTCCTGGCCAATCCATTCCTCGCCCCCTCCCCCCCCTGTTCCCCCTTCCCTCTCCCCCCCCTGTTTCCCATCCACCTAGGAAACGTCCTTCCTCCCTTTCCCCTTTCTTACTAATTCCCGCCCTGTATCTAATTCACCAGCAAGTCCTGTGAGTTCTGCATCCAAAATATATCCTGAATCCACCCACTTCTCTCCATCTTTGTTGCTCTCACCCTGGTCCAAGCCATCGTCTCTCATCTTGAATAGTGCAATAGCTGCCTAGCTGTTCCCCTGCTCCTCCCTTACCCTTTACAAACTTGTCTTTACAATATCTGGGAATGTTTTAAAAATCAGAATCTTATCATGCTCTTCCGTGCTTACAATATTTGAGTGGCTTTTTTTTTTAAAATATATTTTATTGATTTTTCACAGAGAGGAAGGGAGAGAGATAGTTAGAAACATCGATGAGAGAAAAACATCGATCAGCTGCCTCCTGCACATCTCCCACTGGGGATGTGCCCGCAACCCAGGTACATGCCCTTGACCGGAATCAAACCTGGGACCTTTCATTCCGCAGGCCGACGCTCTATCCACTGAGCCAAACCGGTTTCGGCGAGTGGCTTTTCATTGTGCTCGTGATAGATCTGAACTCGTTAGGAGAGGCCCTTCACCTTGTACTCCTCCTCAGTGTTCAAACAATGTTCCTGCCAGATCGGGCATCTTGTTTTTTGTTTTTGTTTTTAATATATTTTAATGACTTTTTACAGAGAGGAAGGGAGAAGGATAGAGAGTTAGAAACATCGATGAGAGAGAAACATCCATCAGCTGCCTCCTGTACACCCCCCACTGGGGATGTGTCCGCAACCAAGATACATGCCCTTGACCGGAATCGAACCTGGGACCCTTCACTCCACAGGCCAATGCTCTATCCACTGAGCCAAACCGGTCAGGGCCAGATCGGGCGTCTTGATGTTCTAGATCTAGAACATCCAAAATCATTCTCTTAGAACACCTGCACTGTTGATTCCCTACTTTCAGAATCCTTTGTCTCCCTCTCCCTCTCCTTTTTACCTGGCTGCCTCCTTTTTGTCACTCAGCCACCCACTCTATTTCATCAGTATGTTTCATTGTCTTTCCAACTCATCTCACTCACTGAAATGATCTTATAGCTGTTTATTGTTTATTGTCTGCCCCACCCCACATACACTAGGGCTTGGCATATATGTAGATGCTCAATAGGTATTGCTTAGTGAACTTGACCTGGGACTCCTGCCCACTGGAACTCTTCATTCTCTCTTTTACCCTCCACCTGCCTTTCCTCTCTTTCTTCCTGCCCTTCCTGATCTCTGCCCTGTGATCTGTGCACAATGCTTTCGGCTGAGTCTCTGCTCACACCCACGCCCCTCCAGACAATCATCCTTCATCCCCTGCACTATTACTATCATTAGCCTGGCACTCCCGCCTCCCGGAAGGAAGCCTGCTGTTCTGACCAGCATCTGCAGCGCTGCCCTCCTGCTTGTCTGTCCCTGGCAGTCCTTCATTCCAAGGTCAGAACAGCAGTGAGTGAGCCTTCCTCCTCGTGTCTCCCAGTGGGAAGAGTGCACATTGGATGTGAACCGCGCCATGTGAAGCAGGTCCACAAGTCACACCATAACCTGGGCCTCACTGGGCCCCATGCACCCTGAGGATGTGCAATAAGAGGACTCATTATGCGATGGGTGTGGGCCAGATTTATTCACTACCAGTTACACTGAGGACTTTGGGTCATTAGCAGTTATTTCTAGTATTTTTGATTCACTCATTCATTCAGGGACTCCTTTTTTGTTTGTTTATCCTCACCCAAGTATATATATTTTTATTTATTTTAGAGAGAGAAGAATAAAAAGAGAGAAACATTGATGTGAGAGAGAAACAGCTATCAGCTGCTTCTTATAAGCACCCCAACCAGGGACTGAACCTGGAACTTAGGTATGTGCCCTGACTGGGAATTGAACCCATGGCCTTTTGGTGTATGGGATAATGCTCCAACAAACTGAGCCACCTGGCCAGGGCTCAAACACTCTTTTTTTGAACACCGACCACATGCTGGGTACTGTACTGGGATACAGTGGAGAGCAAGAACAAAGCCATCACTGTCTCCCTGGAACTTAGAGTCTAGTGAGGGAGACAATGAAATACAGTGACAAGTGTGTTTTCAGGTAATTTTAAGACCTTCCCACACTCCACAGTCTATAAATTCTCTCCCTGTGTCTGGCTCTTTATCATGATCTCTGGGCTCACTGGGAGGTGCTGGTCTTTATCAAGGTAAATTCCTGTCTGTTTCCTGTCCTCCAATGCCCAACATCCTTCTGAACTCTTCTCACTCTCAGCTGAAGATCTTGCTTTCTGCTTTTCAGAGAAAATAAATGCAGACAGAAGAGAGCTTCCCACTTCTGCTTCCACATCCCATCTCACCTCTCCTTCTGGGGGGATCCCAGGCCTTTTCAATCACCAAAGCCTTCACTCCAGGGATCGTCCCTACCTCTCCCCCAGCATCACT